TGGCGCAAAACACATGTTACTGTCTAGCTGTAAGAATGAGACGCTTCTCTCTAACAGGACTAGTTCAGAATATAAAACAACCTCGTTGAAAGAAACCGAAGGCGATGGTGTCCTGATAAGGGTTATCAATTGCAGGCGGGGGGAACTTCAAAGCGGTGTTTTTTGCGAGGAGCCGGGACAAGAAGCGGGATTATTTACTGAAACGCGAAGGAGGCAGATGTGGGATAGACGCGATAAGTTCCGTCGTTGGAGACTGATTGAGATTAGCGTGGAGAATGCATGACCAGTGTGGTTGACCCCACGCTTGCGTGACACTGGGGGAAAGAGCCAAGTTTTCAGGCGCTTGGATTACGGCGGTCGATAACTTTTGCCGTTTGTACATTAAGCGAGGGTTAATGACAACGCCATCGGTACGCGGAAAACATAGAGTACGCATCGACGAATTCGACAGCCGCTGAGAAGAGAGCAGGAAAGAGGATATCCAGAAACGGGTTGCTTTGGGGTAAGGATGCTGCGGTTTGATGCAGCTAGACGTTATTTTACGACGAGGGTCGGGGGAAGAGATACCTCGTCGGTGATATTGCTGGGGGTGGTATTTGATAACGCGATTCTGCGTGGGATAATCCATATGAGTGGTTGTTGGGAATATGAACTTGTACAGCTGATGAATTTGAAAAACGGCTATACTACATAGCTCGTGTTCACCGGGGAACCTTGCATATTTGGAGGACGGCCTGGATATACGGGCGAATGAAGCCTATGCCTAATGGGAAGAGAAGGTCGTGGCGTCTCTCAGTAAGACTAGTTCTTTTCGTGAGAGGTATGCGCGACCTGAAAGTAAGACGATGAGAGATGTCTAAAAATAGATGTAGTCTAGAAGAGATTTTTTATGTAACACAGAGCGAGGCGTTCCATTCTGTGTGAGATATATGAATTTGCACAGCTCATGGAAGAGCTCGCATACAGGAAATATGGCCTGGATATACGGGCGAATGAAGACTACGCCTAATGGGAAGAGAAGGTGTTTCTTGCCTGTGGCGTCTGGGTGAGATTGAGTTCATTTCGTGAGAGGTGTGCGCGAGGTTTGCATTGGGACCTGAAAGTTCAGCTAAGCGAATCTAAGCGATTCAATTCTGTTAAGGTTTCGATGATCAGCTTCTCACACTGGTGAGATATCAATGGAATGCAGAGTTTAAAAACGCCGCACCTTGTGAATTTGAGTTCGCAGAAGGATAATCAGGGAAAGGTTCGATGAACAGCTGAGTGGGATATCAATGAAATGGGGGCTGTGAGTTGAGGGCTGCATGACACGAGCTCTCGTCGGTGATGTAGGGTTGGCTTCGTCGGAGATAAGGTTCGTAAGATAGCCGTAGGAGTCTAGTGTATACGCTCCCGAAAAGGCAAGTGCTGGTTTGCTTCTACCACCATGGACCAGACAGCTGCCAAAAAGACGCTTCAAGAGCTTGTGAAACGGGAAGATCTTGGGAATCGGGTGTGTGTGGACTGTGGGAGCCCGAATCCGCAGTGGGCGTCGCTGAGGTGGGCTTCATCCGATCTGTGCAACTACCACTGAGCATGGTGCAGCTTTGCGGTGTTCATGTGTCTGCAGTGCGCAGGGATGCATCGCGGGTTTGGAGTGCATATAACGTGGGTGACCTGCTTGTTGGTTTGACGAGGCTGATAGGGTGCAGGTTCGTTCGGTCGCTGTCGATGGATACGTGGCAGGATGACCAGCTGAAGCGCATGCAGGTCGGTTCGATCTGTGTTTGTGCTGTGGATTCGCTCGTTGACGATGGATGATAGCTCGGTGGGAACGGCCCGTTTCGCGAGTTCATGCGGGGGTACAGGCCGGTGGAGCAGGGCGGGTACAGCGATTCGTTGAGTGTGCATGATACGTATCATTGTTGGGCAGCGAGTCAGTATCGGCAAAAGGTGTGTATTGGATTAGGCGTTTACTATTGCTAATGTGTGTGTAGCTTGATTACGAGTTGGTGGACAAGGAGTGGGTGCCGTCGCCCCCGCCAGAGCCCGCCTCGCCCGCCCTGCGCAAGTCGCGGAGAGGGGCGTCATCATCGCCAGCACCGTCCGAGGCGCGAGGCAGGCGGTTCCAAGGCGAGTCGCCCAGAGGGACGCCCCCGCCTGTCCTTCCCCAGAAAGAGGCAAACGAACTCTACTTTAATTCCCTCGGTCAGGCCAATGCCAGCCGTCCGGACCACCTCCCTCCATCTCAAGGCGGGCGCTACCAAGGTTTCGGGAGCACGCCCCAGCCATCGCAGAGTGCACCCACCACCACCACCATCCAAGACAATCCCATAGCCGCGCTGAGCAAAGGCTGGTCGTTCCTCTCTGCTGCAGTGGTAGGCGCGTCCAAAGTCGTCAACGAGAACGTCATCCAGCCGGGCATGGAAAAGGTGTCCGATCCGGAGCTCCAGAGGAATGTCAAGGGCTACTTGGAGGGTGCCAAGAAGGGCGCGGTGAGCGTGGGGAGCTCGGCGAATGCTTGGGGGAAGAGCCAGTTTGGGGTCGATGTCGCTGGGAGTGTCGGTGAGGTGGTGGGCAAGCTGGGTGCCGGGCCGTCGAGGGAGGGGTATGGGGCTGTGCCGACTGGGTGGGAGGGCGAGCGGACGGCGTTGTATGCAGAGGAAGAGGATGACTTTTTTGAGCACACGACTAAAGCCCCGACGCCTCCGCCGAAGAAGGCGGGCGATGGATGGGATGACGACTGGAAGGATTTTTAGATTAGAGATTCAATTTATTTATGCAAATTATTATTTATGTCGTCATACCCCGCATTCATCCCCGCATCCACCATGAACCGCATCATCCAGCTTGGACGACGAGGCTACCATGCCTCTGTCCTGCCTTCCCGTATATCATCTGCATCTCCCGAGTTTGTCGCCAAAGCACAGGCAATGGACGACCTCGTCACGGATCTCGACGCCAAGCTTGCTAGGGCCAGACTTGGAGGAGGCGACAAGGCTGCAGAGCGAATGAGGAGCAGAGGAAAGCGTGTTCCTAGGGATAGGTGAGCGTCGTGTATCCTGGACTCGCTATCTCATCTCCAATAGGCTCAATCTCCTCCTTGATCCACACACGCCCTTTCTCGAGCTCTCGGCTCTTGCTGCACACGATGTCTACCCAGGCGATTACGTCCCTGGAGCTGGCATTATCACTGGTATAGGCAGAATAAAGGGAAGAGAGTGCATGGTGGTCGTGAATGATCCGACTGTAAAGGGCGGCGCGTACTACCCACTTACCGTCAAGAAACACCTCCGTGCCCAAGAGATCGCCAGAGAGAACGGTCTACCCTGTGTTTACATCGGTGCGCCCGTTTTCCTTTTCCTCGACGTCTATCCAATGAGTCCCAGTCGAGTCGGGCGGTGCAGCCCTCCCACACCAAGCAAACGTCTTTCCCGACAAGGACCATTTCGGACGGATCTTTTACAACATGGTACGCGCCCCTCCCTTTCCCACCCACGCGCCCTTATTCACGTGTCGTAGGCCCAAATGTCCGCCCTGGGCATTCCCCAAATCGCCTCTGTCCACGGCATAAGTGTCGCGGGCGGCGCCTACGTCCCAGCCATGGCCGACGAGAACGTCATCGTGCAGAACCAGGGACGCATATTCCTCGCGGGGCCCCCGCTCGTAAGGGCTGCGACGGGCGAGGAGGTGGGCGAGGAGGACTTGGGTGGGGGGAGGATGCATGCGACGGAGAGCGGGGTGACGGATCATCTGGCGAGGGATGATGACCATGCGATTGATATTGTGCGTGGTGTTGTGGGTGATTTGGGGAAAGGTGGGGAGAGGAGGGTGGATGCTGAGCCGGAGGAGCCGTTGTATGATGCTAGTGAGCTTCATGGTATTGTGGGTACAGACGTCCGCCAGGCCTTTGATATGCGTGATGTCATTGCGCGTTTGGTTGACGGCAGTCGCTTTAGGGAGTTTAAGAAGGAGTATGGATCGACTATCATCACTGTGAGATTATTCTTGTGTATCGACTGTTACTCATCTGTGTACTAGGGCTTTGCGCATATACATGGCTACCAAATCGGCATTATCGCCAACAACGGCATCCTCTTTTCCCCGTCTGCCTTGAAAGCCACACATTTCATACAGATCTGCGAGCAGAGGGGGGTGCCGTTGGTCTTTCTCGTTAATGTCACTGGTGGGTATACGGTTTGTGTTGTCAGGGTACTTGTCATTAACTAGACTTGTAGGCTATATGGTGGGTTCCAAGGCGGAACGAGGGGGGATAGCTAAAGACGGTACGTAACCCCCCACGTTCAATCGAGTGTGTGGTTCCGAGAATCTGGTGTGCTAGGTGCAAAGATGGTCAGAGCCGTTGCCTGTACGACCGTGCCAAAGTTTACTGTCATCGTCGGTGGGAGCTTTGGAGCGGGCAATTACGGTGCGTCCATAGTACGCCCACTTGCTCCTTTATTCATTAATTAATTCCAGGCATGGCTGGTCGAGCGGTAAGTCACTCCCCATCTCCATCCACTTGACACTTGACGTTAACTGCGACTCTTCGAAAGTATTCTCCGAGGTTCCTGTGGATGTGGCCTGTACGTTATTCATTTTTTGGTACTAGTCCTACCCCGCTCATTAATCGACGGCAGAACGCAAAAGTATCCGTGATGGGCTCTGCACAGCTCTCGCAGGTCATGACGTCTGTGTCCAAGTACGTTTCGTGCCCTCCCTCTCTTTCTCCTCCTCACGTCTCACTAGGGACCCGACGCAGCATGCGGCGCTCCAGACGGAGATCGAGGAGCAGAGTACGGCGTTGTATTCGACAGCGAGGCTGTGGGACGATGGGATTGTGACTCCGAGGGATACGAGGGACGTTTTGGGGTTGGCGTTGGGTGTTGCGGGGAGGAGGAGGAGTGAAGGCGGGGCTGGGTTTGGTGTTTTTAGGATGTAGATAGGTGGTACTTATTGGAAGTGGACTGCTGCCTGACATATATGGGGTTAGATAAGACTTTATGTAGTGTAGCATCCATGGCAACATGGCCGAGTGGTTAAGGCGCTAGAATCAGGTTGAGGTGGTTTCGTAATCATCTTCCGAATAGGAAATCTAGTCCGAAAGGGCGTGGGTTCGAGTCCCACTGTTGTCATAGTCAGATATCTATCGTTTTTACTCTCTCTGGAGTTGTAAATAATCGACGCATATCGTATTAAAATTTAACGGTATATCTTATTATAGTATTTATGATATTTTGTAAGGAAAGTGTCGATACAGTTGTAGTGAATTGTTGCACACCAACGCACTCGACATCGACATTAAGGTTCGAGTCCCACTCAGGTTGTCGTCTCTCTTGGACGTGTGAGTTTTTTTCCCTGAACTCAAGACGCTGCTTGAACTTCCGCACGAAAAGTCTAGGGGGTAGGATTCCAATTTTTCCGTTGAAGTTTAGTTCCAAAAACTTATCCATCCTATTGAACTGTTCTTTTTGAGCTAAGACTCGTTGCATTGGACTACTGCCAATCGACAAATCGACGACGATCAACTCGGTGGAGACTCTGCAGGGGCGGGCGCATTGACTGATTCATAGCATACTAATGCAAACTAGCATTCCCCGGTCAAGTTCTACTACTACTAGTACTTCGGGCCCAGTGGGATTCGAACCCATCGCGGTTTATGAAAAGGTGCCTGCTGCGATGGGTTCGAGTCTCACTCGCGATCGGTGTATTTAATGATCAATCGGGCATAATGATGTAGTTTTACTCAATCAATAGATTTTTCGAGCCATGACTCGAGTATGATACTCGCGACTGTGGTTTATAGTGCGTAGTGCAGTATCCTCTCGGAGGTCGTGTAGTACAACTGGATATTCGTCGTCTCCTCCTTGCAACTGAGAAGACTTGTTCCAAGTTGACGAGCACACCACGGCTGACGCAGGGTTCCGCCAGTCGCTCTTCCTTCTACGCTGTGGAAGACCACTCGGCCATGTTGCCATGCGATCTTAAGTATGCGGTATACTATGGCGTGGGTTCGAGTCCCACTGTTGTCACGAGGGATGCAGTTTGTATCATTTTTCAATTTTTTTTCAAGGCTCAAGTAGCCAGGACTCAGGTACCAGACTGAGGAGTGGTAAACCTGTAGGTTCCGGCTTTGTACTGCACTTGAAGGCCTGTTACGACAGGGACGGTGGTATAATCTTTGATCACTGTTACTTTGGAATATGTATGGCAACTTTGGTAACTGGTTTACCCACCGGTATGAATGGGTTCGAATCCCAGCGTTGTCATGGTCTATTGGACATATGGCTTTCAACTTTTTGAGCCAGACTCGGCGCCAGGGGCATAGGCTGTGATGTATAGTGCGTCATGTAGTATTTTCTTGCAGGTCATGACATCCGTACGCGTGTCAGTCCTTCCCCTTTACTCCTGGATCCGAAATTAAATTTCCTGGTTTGCTTTCGAAATGCTTCTTCCAAGTCGACGAGCACACCGTCTCCTGTGGCGGCGGACGATGTTGGGTATCCTGATTCGTTCCGCCAACCGCTCTTCCTTCCACGCTGCGGAAGAAGCCGCGTTTAACTCTCTTTTCGGTGCCGTACGCTTCTCAAAATGCAGTTGATGCATTCCTTCGAGGGTCGGGAATGGCGAGGGCCTTGCTAGAATCGACTCTATCCAGGGGTGGATCGCGTGGATGGAACACCCAGAAATAGACAGTACAAATAGAGTGCGATTATTATCGTGCGAGTTGATGGTAAAATGACTAGGGTGCCACAGGAGAAATAGGCCTGCTACTTCTAGGAACCAGACATTTGCGAAATTGGCATGCTCCAGCGGACTGTCGCCTGTAGAGTGGTCCGACGAACTTGAAATGAATGGGATGAAAGAGAAAAACATCTGACTATGAGTCTTTGGGACTTGAACAGTTCAACGGAAATATAATGTTTCTTCTGCTATATCGAAGAGGTGGTCGTTTAGGCTCGGGACTAGGTGGATCAGCAGATAGCATATTGCTGAAGACCCTCGAGGAAGATTTATTGCAGGTACCGATATAATGTTCCTAGATACAAGGGCCAGAAGACAAAAGGTTCTCAATGCGGTCCCAGGAATGTTCATGCCAATTTCGTGGGATGATGCTAGGATGTCAGATAACGACGAACACCTAGAGATAGGAATCGCTGCGAACGTCGCAGAGCTTTGCGTCACGGTATCGTTCCGTTTGTACACGGCTTGCTATTGACTCGAAAAAGAAGTGCTTGGATTGATCGCGGTAGGAATTCGAGCGGAAAAAGACAACCGGGTGATACTTTCTTTCGAGAACCGGTACAACAGTGATAATTGTTGCTTCGAGAACCGGTGGCATACCACACCAGAATAGCGGTATGAGGGTTGAAGCTAAGCTCGAGTCACTGTTCGCAGCGAGGCAGGAGACCCGACGTGGCTGTGCATTTAAACGCGCTTGCCATTAAACCAGCATCATCGACATCGAGGTCCAAGAGTCCGACTGATCGTTCCAAGGCAGGTGGTGTCGGCATATCGCGCAAGCGCAACGTGACTAGATAATTGATCGTCGAGCGTTCCGCTGTTTTGGGTCACCTCTCTCATCGCAACTACTCTCCTTCACTCCTCCTTCCTCCTCTCTCCTCTCAGGCACCTGGATGATCCAACAAACGAATGCTCGTCAGGCTGGAACAGGCCTTCGTGTAGGGGCCGTGGACGGTTCAGAACTTACATGGGGCCAGTGGTCTGGACGAAAGTGAGCGCTTATTTCTATCACTGTCCTAATTTGTGTCTGATTTTCCGTAGGTTATACGCTCTTGAGGTCATTCAAAACCCACTGAGAGCTAGGATGTGTGGATTTGGGGACAAGGTAAGCTGGTTTATTTGGAGATGTCATTGGAAATCAATCTGTATGCAGGATCGACGACCGCTAGCACCAGCAGCTGTAGTGAAGATGGTAGTTAAACGAGAAGATGACAGTGTCGTCGACGTCGAGTGCGTGTCTCTTTTTCTATACGGACTGCCGTGGTTTACCTCCCCTCAGCGACGTGGATTGTTCCTTCTTCCTAGTAACGGTCGATCTCTGGTCTGGGGACGGGAAACAAGAAATGAATCTAGTCCTGCATCCTTCATCGTCCGAGAGATACGTACAACAGACTCCAAAGTCAAGTAGCAACACCAGGCGGCGTGCATCCAAAAGTGGACAGGCGCCCAACCCGACTCGAACACCCACGCCGACACCAACACCGACATCCCCCGAGCAGCCCTACCCACCATACCCACCGCCTGCCGACCTCACTTATTCGGAGACTGCCCCGACATGGGGCTACCCCGGCACGTCTTTCCCACAACCACCCCAGCAACCTCCCCAATCATTCGGCCGAGAACCATGGCAAGTCGACCCCGACAATTCCGAAGGGCCTGAATACCGTCCATGGAATACAGAGACTTACTCCAATCCACCACCCAACCCAACTCCTAATTCAAGTCCACCTTCGTATTGGGAACCGGCTGCTCCCGTGCCTACGTCTCCGTCTATAACCAAGGAGAAACGACCCGCGCCTACGCCCTCGATACCGCCTCTTCCCCGACACACCTACACGCGTACCCTCGTCGGTCCCTTATCTGCCAATGCGACCCGCCTTCTGGATGAACACCGCAAACCCGGGATATTTTTCCTGTTCCAGGATTTGTCCGTTCGCACTGAGGGTACATTTCGCCTGCGTCTGAGGCTCATGAACGTCGGAGCTCCGCCTGCACCTGAAGCGGGGGCGTCAGCAGTGCATACGGACGTGTCACCTGTGCTGGCGCAGACGTTCACCGAGCCGTTCACGGTGTATTCGGCTAAGAGGTTTCCTGGCGTTCCGGGTATGTGTGTGTATTTTTGGGGGTTGTGTGGTGATTGATGGTTTTTTGTAGATACGACGGCGTTGTCCATTGCTCTTGGGAATCAGGGACAGAAGCTCCCTCTGGTGAGTGTTAGAATATGTGGTGCGTTTGTGTTGTTGTTAATGGTATTCTTTGAACTTGTAGCGGAATCGGCATGGCTCGAATAAGAGACGGCGACACGGTTCTGGTTCGGAGGATGAATCGGATGCGGAGTAGATGAAGTGGTGATGTAGATTTCTTCACGTTCGTTCAAGTCTGATTTATTGCTATATTTTTGTATATCGGAAGAATTTATGGTATCTTTATGGTGGATGTTTTGTTAGTCCGCGACCCTAGCATGTAAACTTCTGCTGTTTGTTGACTCTCGTGGTACGTCGATATGCCGCTCCTTTTTTCTTATTTAATTCTTGGGTTTAGGTATTGTTGGTCCCAGGTTAAGTCTCGTCTCTGAAAACATGGCCTTATCGTTAAGCGCGACTCGGAATGTTTCTCAAGGTGGATGTAATCTGTACAGTATTGTTTTCCGGTTCCGTATGGCAAGCCGGCGGTTCTCAGATCACCTAACAGTATCCGTGATGCTCTCACAGCTTTTGACATCCGTGTCCAAGTAGGATTGTCTTCCTTAGTCGAGTTGCCGGTCCGTCTGCGAATGGGACCTAGGGAAGGAGGCGGATATTGAGGAACAAAGTGATACTGTGAGAACCATCATTTGTGATTGGCAGTCTGGCAGGAGAATTAGTAGGTCGACCATATATCTTCACGCTCGAGATGTCTCTTGGCATTGATGCAATATTGATGTACTGCACCCTACATAAACCGGGAACCTCGGTCACTGGTCTAGTCTCACCGGAATGAATACCAAGCTGTTGATTTCTGGTTGTTGTCTTGCCAGTGCCATCATGATATGCATATATGTGCTCGGTCTTTCGTTGCCTCGAGACCCAGTATCATTCAAAAATGCCAAACCCAGAATTTCATCTGTTCTCGCCTGGATTTACTTCCCTTGCCTGTACAAAATAAATGCCGTAATTCGTGCCGTTGTATACAAAGGCACCACGGGGTGCTTATCGCTTTCAATTGATTAGGAATTCGTTAGGAATGACAGTTTGGCTCTTGCAATTACTTTTATTATTAGTGCAGCGGTGGATATTCGACCCTGCAAGGCTTAGTCTGACTTTTTCTCAGTCTAGGCAATACAAGGCAATCAAGGTGTGTCCCATTTCGGATGAGAACATACTGTAGACGAAGACCACCGGGTGGTTGTAGA